TGAAATTTTTGAAAACAAAGAGAAATTCTCAATAGGGCATCACAAGTTGTGTACCTGTGCCTTAACCCTCTTTCGATATACTTTAGCAGAACACAAATGACAACGCTCAACTGATGATGATGCAAAATACGATATAAGTCAGGTTAAAAAATTATGCATCGCCTACATTTAATGTATACTATTGCCTACTTCGACTATAGGCATTCTCCATTGCTTTGTAATTATTATAAATAGCTAGTTTTGAGGGAATCATTTGGTGGACACTTTAATAGTCTTTTATAATTTTTTGGTTCAAACTACAACTTTGATATTAATACAAAAGCTAAGAATATTTGTAAAAATTTCGAAAGACTTATAACTATGTTAAGAAATATGCATAAAATATTTTATTTTGTCCTTGTCACTCTCTATAATATTAGTTAGCACAGAAGTCGCTAAAATCGATGATGTTGCAAAATACGATATGATGCAGGTTCAAAAATTATGTATAGCTTACATTTAATGTTTACTATTGTCTATTTCGACTATAGGCATTCCTCTCCATTGTTTTCTAATTATTATTAATAGCTGGTTTTGATTCAATATATGTATAATCCTTTCTTTGTAGCGTTTTGAAATGCTGTGCGCTTTAACACTTCGCTGAAGTTATGTTCCTTTATTATAAAGTAATTTTATATTAACTATAATTTATTATAAATATTTATAAATATATTTATATATCAGTTTTACAATTATTAAACAGATAATTACGATATTTACTTTTTAGTAAGTTATTTAGAACTTTTAAAACATGTTATTAAAATAATGACAAATATGAGACAATTGGGACTAGCATTACGCCTTAGAACGAAATAATCTAACGAAAATTTAATATGAATTTAAAAAGTTGTGTATGTTGCAACTGTGCCCCCCAAGCTCTTCGGCGCATTCATATTCCCCCCCCCCAAAAAAAATGCTAACTTCCCCCTTCCATGTTAGCTTGTTCGAAATAGTGCTACGTTGCTTCTTTTATTTATGTACTTAAAAAAAAAATAATAATTCTCTCGTCTAAATTCCCCCCCAAACTATTCGTTTTATTTAATTCCCCCCCAAGCTTTAAGTGGGCACATCGTGCGCCCACCTTCCCCCCTGATGGGGGCCCCTGTTGCAACTGTATGTTGAAATAAGGTATTTTAAGATATTGATTACCTTGTTTATGAGAAGTTTCAAACAAAGCTATAGGCTCTTGTAGACGATTACTTTCAGTTAAGACTGATATCTGATTCCACATTTGTAAGACAATGTGTAAAAACCATAAAGCTTTTGTAAAAATTAAAGTGTTTGACGCGTATGCATGGCGGACCAAATTACTGTAGTGCGTATATGACTTATCTGCCGTGCAAAAGAAAAATCAACGTAAGCGATAAAAAGTTCAAAATTTAGATTTAAATATTTAGCTTTTTTTTTTGTATGATAAGTTACTTATTGCAAAAGATTCTCTTCAGAATAAAATTTTGTGTTATCAGTTTATAAAATTCTATTTTAGCGTTCATAGCTATAGAAAATAGTTGTCAAGTCAATTTTCTCGAAATCTGCAGAGATATTTTGTTTTTTCATTTTCACCGCAGTATTCTCATGTAAAATAAAAAAATAAGAAAAATGCCATTAACAGTTAGAACTCTAAATTTCAATAAAATTTCATTTTGTGGTAGTTTTTATTATATTACCAATAGAACTAAGTATTTTATATTGATGGATGCAATAAAAGTAACGACCCGAAACCAACTGCACACGAAAGCCGCGACTTTGAAGACTAGAAACTTTGATTTGCGGAGAAAGAGCAAATTAGCTGGACCATTAGTGGCCTTTTCCTCCGAGAGGCTCTTGAATACAAGATTCCGAAGCAAGATTCAAAAGCTCTCTTCCTTAAATTCGCATCGTATTATCATATTGTATCTATGCACATGGCACATCTTATGCACAAGACGAAGAAATGTTTTGGGCCCCTATAACATGTCATACTGTTTAAAATCTAACTAAAAAAACTTCATACATAAAGTAAAGCATTTTTAAGCTATGCATAATTTATTTATTTATTTATTTATTTTTTTTTTTTTTAAAAATGAGATGCTGACCAATTGCAATCGTCAAATAATAGTACTAAGAAGAATGTAAGAAATTTTGGTTTGGAAAATTTCTAGTAGAGTTCGATACAACCCAAGAAAAGTTGAACATTATACAACACTACAAAAAATTTTATTTTATTTTCTTGCATTGTAGGTTTTATGCAAGCATCGAGTCTTACTGGCTTCAACTCCTGAATATTTTTTGGAGCTCACTAAACTTGTGAATGTCATTATAGAGAATGCACTAAAAAGAATGTAAAAAATTTTGGTTTGGGAAAATTTCTTGTAGAGCTCGACAAAACCCAAAGCAAGTTGATCATTATACAACACAAAAATAATTTTTAATTTTTGTTAAATTTAATTTATTTATTTTTACATTGTTGGTTTAATGTAAGCGTCGAGTCTTACTGGATTCAACTCCTGAATATTTTTTGGAGCTCTCACAAATTGTGAATGTTGTATTGGGAACGTATTGAGAAGATTGTTACAGAAGAACAGGACTCGACTTTCAAAATATCACCAACCCAAAGGATCTTGGAGGATCATAAATCCCCATGAATCTTGAAACATGACCAACCCATTGCATCTCACTCTTACTATATACAGTGACAAAGACAAAATAAAAACTTCTTAAAAACTTTTTATAATTTTTTTTTGCATATGTATACGTTTTAAGAAATTTTGACACCTATCCCTTGACTTGATATTAATATCAAAGTTCCCTTCGAACCAAAAAATTATTAGAAATAATTAAAGCTTCCTTCAAATGACTCCCGAAAACGCAGCTATTACTTAGAAAACAAAAGAATAAAATGTCTATAACTGTAGTAGAAAATACTATACATTAACTGTAGGCTACATAGAATTTTTTTACCTGCTACACATAATTCATATCATATTTGCACCATCATCAATTTTAGTGACTCCTGCGCTAACTATAAAGAGTGACAAGGACAAAATAAAAAATTTTGGAAAAGGTTTATAAATATTTTTAGCTGCCCCATAAAACTAGCAATTAATAATAATTAGAAAACAAAGAAGAGCAATGCCTGTAACCGAAGTAGAAAATACTTTTTTCTACTTCGGTTACAGGCATTGTTCTTCAGAACAGAATTTTTTTTACCCGCCCTATATCATAATTGCATCATCGTCGATTTTAGAGACACCTGTGCACCTTAGCGACACTATATAGAAATGCAGAAACAAAATGAAACATTTTAAAATATTTTATAAATATTTTTTAGCACTTGTACATGTTTTTAAAAATTTTGACCCCTATCCTTTCACTTGATATTAATACCAAATTTCTCTTTTGAACCAAAAAATTATAAAAAATAATTAAAATGAGTAAAAACAAAAAGCGTAAAGAAATTTTTTGTGGTACACTAGTTCAAACAAAGTTTGAAACTGTTTCGACAGGCTAAGGTTGAGAAAAAATAAAAAAACAGTTATGGAAACAGAACAAACTAGTTTCCTGTCATATATTTACTTGATAATTATTAAATTAAGGTCTAACAAAACTACTTTTTTAAATTTTTTACATTAATTTCTAGAGTAAACTGTATCGACTAAAAAGTAGGTGCTTTAAAATTAAATATAAAATATTTAGCTCATTAAAGAATGTTTAAAATTTTTTATAAATTTTGCGAATCAAGTTGCTGAGCGAAATTAATAACGCTTGATTAGCATTTCCAAAAATTAATTCATTCTTTCAAAGGGCCCCGAATTCAATTGCCTCTCTGGGCCCTTAAATCCCAGTCTGAACCTGGAAGACAATATCATTCTTTGTTTGCAAAACACTTTCATACTAATTGAATGATTTATCTGTTTTGAACGATATGTAAAATTTTCAAACTCTACCTTTCTATAACAGCAATGCCCTAATCATATACCACGATTCCCTATTTCATTAATATTGCTCCTCTGAGTAATATTTCATTCATTCTTTCTTCATTAAAATCACAAAAATAGTGGGGCCGGACACACCGGAACGTTTTAGTGAGGTGGATGTGGTTCCAAGAACTATATTGAATATATTACTAATGCTCCCGATGCATTTTTTTTTTAAATTAAAAAAACAGTTTTAGTATAATCTGCTCATAATTCCAAACAAATTGGAGGCTCATCATCAATTAGTCATAATCATATTAGTCTTTAATTTAATTATTATCATTTTAGTTATCAATTAACCCTACATTTCTATTTTCAAAGTGCAGATATGAAATTTTTTCCCCTTATAACTGTTTCTAGAAATATTGATTGATGAATAGGAAAGCAGTAATTCAGTTTAAAAATCTCAATTGTTTTACGTAGCTCATCGTATGAGTTTTAGTAATGAATAAATCATAAATCTGTATACACTATAAATGATTCTCAAGAACGAAAAAGTGAAAATAAATATGCAAATAATAATATTTCAAATTGTTTTTTGGTAAATGGGGAGAAAAATTATTAAAGCTACAAGCAGATAAAAATAAGTAAACTTAAGTGAATACAATTATGTTAACTTCAGATGATTTGATAATAGTTAATTGAAAATTACAATTAATTTTAAGTTCCTTCCGCCCTCCCCGTGGTCCGGTGGCGTGCATTCTAATAAAAAATTTTGATAGCACTATAGCACTGATTAAAGTTATTATTTATAAAAAAAATTCTAATATTGAAATGATTTGCATGCTTTACTTTTAAAGCAGCCTTTACTTTAAAACATCCAATTTTAAAAACTAATTGGATAGATGCGAGAAGAAATGGAGGCACCTGGTCATAAAAATTCTTTTCTTTCTTTCTTTCTTTTTTTATTTTTTTCCGTCGAAAAAAAGGATAAACAAAACTTTTCAGAAGGAAATTATCCGCAACCAATGATATCGCTTATAATAAGTCACGTGACTACATAGCAAATCCCTGCATGCACGTGCTTCCTTCCAGACGACAGGCGTCGCTTGACTTGATCTGTTTATCCATCATTTTCGTTCCCTGTTATTATTCTTTCGGATATCGCATTTCTGTGCAGAGAAAGTCATGGCTTTAAGATCGTTTGCTCGCACCCTTTTTTCCGGATTCGGTAAGTGAACTCAACAGTTGGTTTTCATTTTTTATTCCAAATTTTCTTATCCGCAATATCAAAAACATTGCTACTTTTAGCGATGTAACGCTGTAAACATGCTCGTTTTCCTAAGTCAGTGAAGAGCGTGAGCGAATTTTACTGTACTTCCGATTTTTGTTAACATTTTTGTAAATTAATTGAAAATTTTGTACTTTTACATTTGTTTCAATCAATTTTAAAATCACTTATGGTGCGTGACTTTTTTACTAAGATGCTGTAATTTATAATCATCAAGGTCTTGAGATAAACATGCTGGTGTTGTTTTCATTTTTATCAAGGACTCTTGTATCTAGTTAGTAAACACAAATCCTTAAATAAAAGATAGCTTTTTTCTTTTTGAAAGTATGAATGCTGAGTTTTCCTATTTTATTCTTTAACGTTGACGGAATATAAATTATTCATTTAAGTACAATTTTTATCAGTGCATATTAAATAGTACACGTAAAAAGCAATGAATCTTCAATGAAGAGTTAACATCTTATTTTGTTAAAATAGGAAAACTCTGCATTAACTATATTTTTCCCCAAGGAAGGAAAAGTTAAAATTAGATTTCAAATTTTGCACTATTTACTAAGTGTTGACTCATGATAATTTGTTACCAAAAGAATTATTTTATTTAAAAAAATATGCATGAAAAATAAATTATTTTTTTTGAGCAAACATTTTATTAAAAGCGCATTTTCGAAATAGTTTTAATACGCATTTAACAGGTTCGTTTTCCAAAGTAAATTGATAAGTAAACACACAAATTCGATTGCATTAATTTATTTTCGATAAATTCCAAAAATTTGGTGTGCCTTGCAAATTATTTATGTGGAATAATTTTTTGCAAACTCTTAAGCATACACCATTTTGTTAAAAAGTGAGAAAACACATTGTTTTGTGCAAACGATTCTATTGATGGCGTATTTTCTGAATCGTTTTCTGATTAAGAACTTTTCTGAATCGTTTTCTGATTAAAAGCAAAATAAAAGATATCAATGCACTTGAAGTTTCCGCAACAGTATTTTCATACTGTGTAAAATTTTAAACAGTAGTTTTATAGAGGATGGGGAAAAGTTTTTTTCTTTTTTTTTTAGAAAATAGTCGCTGATCAGTTATACGTGTTGCTATATTTACAACTACAATGGGCAACGGTATAAGTCGCAATCAATTTTTTGTGAATTCCGAATGACTCTATTTTTATTTTACTATGTTCGAAAAAGTACCATAGTTTTAAATCAAAAGTTAAGGAAGAGGTGTGAATTACGTATGTAAAAAATTTTTGACGTATATGCATTGTTGCCCTGCGATAAATAAGCATTCTTTAAATTGAAAGAATTTGTGGAATATTTTTTGTAGGAATTTATTAGCGTTATATCTCATATGTAAAAAAGAGGTTTTAGATGTGGCTTAGGATCATTTTAAGTAGTGTATTATTTTAAATCGAAGAAATTCAAAATCACAATATAATTTATGGTGAAAATATCATATTAAATAATTTCATCACTATTCTATTTGCTCGTGTGAAGCAAAATTATATTGATTTGATTGTTAAAGACATGGATAATTGTTTGCAATCTTATTCTCAGCTTCTATAACTGAATGCTGCTTTAAATTTGTTCTATTTGCGAAAATGCTGTGCATTTTTAAAAGTAATGTTCTCCTATAGCTCGTTAGTGTTGTCGAGATAGATACAATTCCCACCCGTTTCTCATGCTAATTTATGGAGAATTAAATGGATACCCATCCATGCCCTATTTATTAAATCACTAATTAAATTTTTTAATAATTTTTGTTTCATTCTGATCATTAAAATATGTTTTATGGAATTAAGTTAACTGTCAAATTTTAATTTTTAAAGCTTTGAGAATTTAAAAAAATTTTCACTGCTAATATCTTTGGTAAATACCTATTATCTTTCAAATTGTATTAATTAGTAACTTAATTAATAGGGAATTGGTATCCATATGATTCTCCGTTAGTTAGCATATGAGTAAAGGATAGTAGAATCTAATTCCCTAAATTTTGTGGCCTCTTCATTGAGTCTATTACTTAATAAACCAAAATGGGTTTAAACGTATATTGTAAAATCCTATAGTATCTATTAGTACTCATTACAATTAGTTGATACTTATACATGTATTGTGAGAATTGTATCTTTAGAGAGATTAAATTTACAATTTGTATCAAAGAATTAATAATATTTATTAAAAATGATTTTTAAAATATCAAACCAATGAAATAAACGAAAATCCTTTCCTTTCCTTCAAGTTCATTTAAGCATATTTACATTAAATTCATCAAGCTTCAGTTCGTTTAAATATGCACGTTTTGAAATTTAGTATTCATGAACAATATCCATAGATGGTTGTTATCAGTTTTAAATAAAAATTTGTTTACACTGTTGGTTTAACAATTCAATGAAAAGTAAACATAAATTCAATCTTGATAAACGCTCGTTCATCTTATGGAGATACTTTTGGTGATTCATAAAAATAATAAAGATTGAGTACTATTTGAACACTGCACTTGATCTACTTTTTAAGTGCGACTTATTTCGGCCATTTATTTTTCTTTACTCTTTAAAAACAACAATTATTTATACTTGATATTATTTAAGAGCTTCTTCAAAACACAGTGTTGGTGGGAAATATTGCTGAAATTATGATAGAAACTTTTTGACTTCCTAATGGCGCCCGAGTTCGTTGATATATATTAATCGATGTATATCATGACATAGACTGTAAAAAATTCCGAATCAAATCGTGGTATAGAGTACCGTCACTTTGGGTGCGCATCATCCATAAAATTCACTTCACCGTAAAATCCATTTTTACCGTAAAATTATTTACATTTATTTTTATGTGATATTTATTTAACTAGAATGATTAAGTGATTTTACGGTAATAATTACTGTAAAAATAACGGTATATCAGATATTTTGCTCCGTAACATGTTCCAGTAAAGGTGGATTTAAAGTACCGGTACTCTGAGTGCCGGTGCTTTTTACCGTGATTTGATTCAGAATTTTTTACTGTGTTATTTTTTTATACTTTTGTACAAGTGTGCATTAAGTAATTTTTAAGCAATACAATTAAATAAATTATTATTTTTAAAAAAGTTTAATGATAGATAAATAGTTTAAAAAGGATTAAATCCAAAATATGTCTATTTTATCTTAATATTTCTGTTAAAAACTGCACCTGCTCCTATATTTGAAGATGCCGAACCCATAGTAAAGTGGAAAACTATAAAGTTAGAACATCAGTTGAAAGACGAAACATGTCATATAATTTATCGATTATTTACTGTTTCTTGTATGACAGCTGTAATATTTTCTAGGTTTGAGTAGTTCCCTCCAAGCTGTGCAATTGATTCGGTACTTAAAAAAGCAGAAAACTTTTTTTTTTTTTAATATTTCAATAAAAATATTTTTAAATGTTAGGAAATATGTAATGCATATATTAGCGTGGCAATATCGAAGTCTGATACAGATATTAAAATTTCTGATATGTTTGATATAACGAAAATATTCTAATATTTACGATCTAAGGGTGGCATATATAGGCGAAAAATTATTCCACGGGCCATATTACGTCTATTTAAAAAGCTGGTAAAATAAGCAAAGAAAGAATTATTAAAATTTATTAACTAACTTATACAATATGTTTAATATTATCATATCAGTTAATTCATATTCATTCAGTTCATTAGTTATACATCATATAATGTATCACATCGAATATCTTGCCCCTCATACACAATATCTAATTGAAATCTAATCATTTTGTTACCACTTTTTATTTTAATCATTTATTTTATTTTTAAGTTATTTATTTATTTATTTTTATTGTATCCATATAAGCAATTACGTCACGGCTGAATAGTACCAGGGGTGCAATGGATTTGGTGAAAGTTACCTTCCTCTTCAGATCTTTGTATAAATTCTGACAGAAGCCTCACCGGTGAATGGTTCTGCCAGTTAACCGGGGATTCTGAGCTAAGTCGCATTTTCACCCCAGCGGTACTCTCTTGTCAAACGAAAGGCGCTCCTTGCTGACTTAATTCGTAGGCTGGCGAGCTTGGCTTGCCAAAATGTCATTTGAAACAACAACGTCTCGGCATTTCGTTTTTAAAATTGTTCCTGTTAGCACCGGCAGGCATAAAGAAAGGTTAAGAAAACCTAATCAGTGTTTATATTTATTTTAAAAGAAAAAGAGTACATTTTGTTCAGAAAATGCAACTAAAACTGAAACCCGTGTTAGCTTCATTTTGTATTGTTCTGTGCAATGTGTGTGGAAAAAAGACTAATATATACTAATATTAAAAATGTATATATTCATACTGTGAAGAAAGTGATACAGAGGGAGTCCTTTTAATCTAACTTTGAAAGTTTATAGAACCAAAACAAATACTTTTCGCCATAAAATATGCGATTTCAAATGTAAGGGGTACATCTTTATATAAATACATTCAACAAAAGTACATAATGTCAGAAATAAACTGTAAAGCTGATAAAATATACTGAAATTTTTACATTTCATTAATCCTTTGACTCAAAATTTTTATTAAACATATTTTTCATACTTTTTTTATTATTTTGTCAAATAAGTGAAAAATATTATATTTAGCATTTTAATAAATTGATGGTTAGGAAATACAGCTTGAAACGCATTTGTCTCTTTTTTGCGTTAAAGGTTAAATCTTCCAAACATTACTCACTTCCAAACAATAATTTTTCAAATTTGCAGTTATTTAGATTTAAAAGAAACAGTTATTCATCTTTGAAATTTCTTAAATATACAGAATCAGTTATTTATAAATTTTTGAATATAAATGAAAAAAAATTTCAAACTAGTTTTGTTTGGATTTTATATTTTTGTTCAAATATAATTCCGATAATCTAACAAATTTTTTTAGTAATTATTAGACTGTTATAATTAATAATTAACTTCAATAATAAATTAATAATAAAA